CTGGTTGACTGTGTTGGTTCATGATCCAGAGGCCCAAGCTCTCAGGAGGAGCCATGGCTTTGCCCCCACATGGCAAATGATGAGGCTCATGCCAACCTCAGCGAAAGGACAGCCGAACCCCCCGTGTCAGGTAGCCTCACAGAGATTCAAGCAGCTCCCTGCTGGGGATGACAGCACTTCAGCCAGAAAGAGTCCTTCAGTACAGTGTCAAAGCTGCAATGAAATGACTCCCTGCCACTATAGCTGTCATCCGCTCTAAGGTGAAGGTGAGCTGGCCACCTGTTGAGAACAGGAGTCATCATATTCAACGTGGTAATCCCTCACGTGCCTAACACCACATCTGTGTAGTGACAGAATAACAACTGGGTAAATTACCCCTTCTTCCTCTGTGTCTCTGAACTGTTGCAGGCTCCTGAGATTTTCCTATGTCTTTGGCCAGGTTAGATAGCCCCATGCTTAGCACTACACCAATTAACCCTTGTTCTGTCATCATTTACATCCCTGTCTTTCTACCCGCTGTCTGTATTCTCCTTGAGGGCAAGAACTGTGTAGCCTTCTTAACCATATTCCCAGCCAGTTACTAACTGAGGGGGCCTGGACACAACATTTGCTTTTTGGATGTTTGTTGGATGAGTGAATAAATTTAAAAATGATTGATTGGAAAAGCCAGTGAACACTGGTGGATGTCAGCCTTCTCCTCTCCTGCTTTCCAGGGGACAACTGGCACATCCGGACCAGAGGCTGAAAGTCCAAAAGACACACTCTGTCTGAAGATACAGACCTGTGCATGAGCACGCGTGGGTTGTGTGCTGTGAGTCCACAGGGGTGTGTGCACAGGCCAGCACATTCATGTGTGCGTGTGTTTGTGTATTTCTGTGTACTTGTGTGTGTGCTCAGATGTAGAAATCTGTGTGTCTTGAAAAATCTGATCTAGAAGTGCAGCCCTACTTCAAGGACATTGCTCCCTGAAAGCGAAGGTCAAAGTTCCCAGAAGTCATCAAAAAAGCTTGATCTACGCGGAGAGAGGATGATAGAAGAGAAAAAAAAATTCTATTATTAGCTTGCTTCATTCATCGTTTCTGATAACACAAAAACTGAGAGTTACTTTTCGCAGTCAGAGTCAACCATCAACATTGCTTCTAAGACAGTGGGTTGACATTATTTGCTTTGAAAAGCATTTACTTATGAAGATTCATAAACTTCCATTTATTTTCAAATTGCACTTATGCCTGAAGGTATGACATCTACACTTTGCTATCTCTAAACTGTCTAGAGCACTAAAATATTAGCGCGTTGGCTGAACAGGATTGCCAACGTCGCAGGACCGGGCACTTTGCTTTTGGAAGGCACACATTCTTCAGCAGGTGTCCTGTTTTTGCTCGGCTGGTGAGATTTTACTGATGTTTGCTTAGTCAATTTGTCCATTCTCTGACAAGTTTTTAGTGCGTACTCAGTGACCATGGCTTCAGAGCAGCTATTCAGCATCTTCTTTGTGTGTGGGCAAGACCCTTTTGAAGAAAAGATCTGTTTACTACTCAGCTTGCTCTGGTAATGCTGCAATAACCAAGGCTCACCTCCAGAACTGAAACACACCCACTCATATAATCTTAGATGATTGCTCCAACAGAGCCAGCCCTCTGGGCCAAGCAACTGGAGTAACAGACACAAGAGCGGAAAATCAGCTTTGAACTTGAAATGCCCAGAGGCCCCTGGCCTGGATGACACCCATTCAGTCATCAGCATTACCTGGTGGATGGCTCCCAACTGTAGTCATTTCTTTTGAACCATGCAATAGAAACGTGCATCTACCCATAAGTTCTTGATAATAGAGGAGTAATACAACCCCAATTTAATGCCAAACCACAGTTATTCTCAAGATCTCTTCTTTTTTTGAAGATTCATTTTATTTGAAAGGCAGAGCTAGTGAGAGTGCGAGGTGAGAGAGAGATCTTCTATCTGCTTGTTCACTCCGTAAACAGCTGCAACAGCCAGAGCCAAGCCAGACAGGGCCAGGAGACTTACACAGGCCACATAGGGTCCCCCAAATGTGGGGTCCCTTCAAATGTGGGCTAGCTTCTTCTCTTTTCCAGGTGCGTTAGCAGCAGCTGATTAAAACTAGCACCCAAGTGATGGCAGGTTTACTACCTACCACATACCACTCCCGCTCCCCTCATTTTAAGAAAGATTTATTTCATTTTATTTGAAAGGAAGAGGGAGAGGGAGGGAAGGGGAGAGAGACAGAGAGAGGGAGAAAATATGTCTCATTTCAGAAGAACTCAACTTTATATCATTATGAACACAAACTCCTGATTATCTTGCTATCAAAAACTCAGCCCCAGTTTAAAAAACATACAGCTTGCGTCCTTAAACGAGGATAATTCTTACCTTCACCCCCTAGATGAGCAGATGGGGGCGCAGAGAGGTGAAGTGGCTGGGCAATGTCACACTGTGCGCAGGGTCCCTCACCCAGACCCTTCTGATGTGAGGCGCTGCTATTGTGAGCAGAACCCACTCCCCAGTAACAAACAGAGCTGACTGTGCAGCTAGAAGCCTCAGGTTAGGAAAGACCTCTCACCACTGCCTGGGGCCACCACTCCTGCCACGGGGTAATTTCAAAGCCCTGGTGGCAACAGTGCCAGCAGCCCAGCTGCTCACCCTCTGTCCCGCACTCAGCATTGAGAGCAGCAGGTGCAAAAGGGTCAGCTCACGGATGCTGAGAGTCCCACAGTTCATGCTGGGATCCCTCTTGTCACCTCTGGGAGTGTGCACAGGCCCTGGGCACCTCCTGGGACCAACTTCTCTCAAATGGGAAGACCATCACAAGCCATGTGACACAGAGTTGCTGTGATGAGGACGAGGGGAGTTCCCACAGTTGGGGTAGAGCTGTGTGGGGTAGGGGTGACGGCTGTAGTGTCGTATTTCCCTGCCCCGCAAGGAGTGTCTGTGCAGGACTGAGCTGTGCTCCCCGCCAGGCTGCCTGTGCCAAGGGTGTATTTGCAGGAAGCAGCAAGGGCACATGGCACTCGTGCAACTTTAGTCTCACAGGATGCCTCGCAGCACTCTCACTGGCTCCAAAGGGGCGTGGTCAGGAGCAGCCCAAGCCGTACTGCACAGGTACGTGAGCTATAAAAAACCCGGTCACCTTGGGCTCCTGTACAGACAGCCGACTCTGCCCTGCATGTGCTGCTGAGACAGCTTCAGCCTGCACCTGCTCCTGGCACCTGGAATTACTCTGAATCCGCACTCTCAAAACCAGGTAAGAGCCTCTCTCTTAAGAAGTTCATTTCCAACCCATCTGATGATATGGGGTTCTGTGGTCCAACCGAGATCCCAGGGTGGATGAGCGGGAGGCTAAACCCCAGCGAGGTGAGAAATAAATGGGACTTCAGGTGGCTTATGCAGTCTGTTCTGCCTTTTCTATTTCTCACTGTTTTCAAAGAAGACTATACTTTCTCCTAAGTAAAACCAGCACTATGTGAATCACTTTGCCATTGCGAAGTACAACAAGCAAAAGCAGGCAGAGCTCACAGTGGCGTTTTGGAAGGACGGAGGAAAGGAGTGGAGTGACAGGTGATCACGCAGGGCAGGCAGACACAGACAGGAGCTGCAGTGGGGCTGCCTGGGCGACTTGGTTCCTGTCCTTATCTGGCTGGTCTTTCCCTATCTCAACAGCTAACCAGGGCTCCTGCTCAGAGGACCCAGCACCTGGTAGCTGTCAAATAGCAATGGACTTCTCTTCTTTCTCCCAGTGGTTTTTGTTTGTTTGTTTACACAACAAAAGCCTCCTTGAAGGTCTCACCGTTGATTGAACTGTTCCTTTCCACCCCTACCCCCATGGAACAGCATTGAATAAGCGCTTCCTTCCTAAATTCCTAGCATTGAGTCACTGGAGACCAACCAGGCACAGTCCTGTCTTCCTGGTCTCTAAAAGCTGTTTGCAACTCACCCATCTCCACCCTGCAGCTCTCCCCGCCTCCCAAGGGCCACAGGACACGCCTGTCTTCATGCCTTTCCTGAGCTTCTCATTTCTGCCTGAATGCTCCCCAACCCCACCCAGAGACTGCGTCAAACTCTTTTTTCATCTTCCTGGTCAATGTTACCTTTTCCTGCCCTTTCATGGCTTCTCTCTTGTTCTTTGGCATTTTGTGGTCTTCTCTGTGCATGAAACAATGAGACAAAATCTTAGCATGTGGCAGCAGTGGGGGTGGGGGTGAGGGGTGGTGATGAATCCACTCACACATTGAGTGCTGGGGGAAGGAAACTGAGGCCCTGAGTGGAGAGAGATATCTCCAAGGCGGAGTTAAGGACAGGGAGTCACTGCTATGTAAACTCCCTAGAGTGGCCTGTAAGATCTTAAAGACTCAAGCCTGCCTTTTTCACCTCAAGGTGTTGAATATAAAAGCTAGTGTATGGCATGTATTTAGATGTTCAATAAATGCTTGCTGAGCGATGTTAAAGGATGGAAGAGGTGAGACAGGTAGGACTGGATGAGTAAGAGGACGAGGCATTAAGAGTGCAGGATGCTCAGTGAGTGCAGAGGGTAAAGTGAGAAGTTCAACCTTAAGTCAGGTGCACATGGAAGCAGTCAGGCTGCTGGTCCTGCATCCAGGGGCCAGAGGATGCTCTGTCTCCTCCTAAAACAGGCAGAGAGAGGGGAAGGCCAGCCTGTAACCTTGTATCAGGGACCCTGCACACCTAACCCTGCCCCACTCACCATGCCCCACTGACCCTGCACTGCCAACTCTGTCCCACTGACCCTCCCATGGACCTGCACTTCTGACCCTACCCCACTCACCATGCACCACTGGCCCCGCTCCCCTGGCCCTGTACCACTCACCATACCCTATTGATGCTGCACCACTGGCTCTGCCTCACCGACCCTGGACCACTCACCATGCCCCACTGACGCTGCCCCACTGACCCTGCCCCACTGACCCTACTCCACCGGCCCTGCACCACTCACTCCATTTTTGTCCAGCAGGTACTCTCCCAGTTGAAGAATGAGAATCTGCAGCCTCACCCTGCTCTCTGTCCTCTTTCTGGCTGCTCACAGGGTCTCAGCAAAGATAAAAAATGAAGTAAGGAGTGGACAGAATGATGAACCAGATAGGAATTCATCAATTCCTCTGGGCAAGCCCCCAATGAAACAGAGAAGCCGAACATCCAAGTCTGCAACCTGTGGCAAGTTTATTGCTAAAAACCAAGCTGCCTGCAAATGGACTGTGGCCGAACAGGTGCCAGGTGTCACCCTACAGGTTGACTGCACTCAGATAGAACACAACTTTTCTTGTGTTTTTTCTGGCAAACCTGCCACGTGCTTGCAGCTCCATAGCCAGCTCTATTGGAAACAGGTGGCTCGGGCACTGCGCAAACAAAAACAACTCTGTGAGGACTCCAGGAGTGTCCTGAAGACTAAGGTGTGTAGAAAGCAGTTTCCTGAATCGAATCTCAAGCTGGTGAACTCCACTCTGACTGGGAACATGAAGTCCAGGAAGGAGACCAGGGAGCGTTCCCACCAGGAGCGGGTAGAGGTCAAAGGGACTGCCTCCACGGAGCCCAGCAAAGCCACAGAGGACAGCCACCCCAGCTCAACAGTGACTCAGCCCACTCCCACCAAAGGCCTGGAGTGTGCGGAGGACCCAGACATGGTCAACCAGAAGAAGGTGGCCCTGCAGTTGTGTGGGGAGGCCTGGAGCTCCCTCTGCACATTCTTACTCTACATGATACAGGACAAGTCCTGCTGATGACATCCCAACCAACAAGTGCCAATCAGATATGCTAGGTCAGAAACTCCCTTGTCAAGTTCTCAGTGCTCCCGCAAAGATACAAACTATTGTGCTCCAAGAGTACGGTGGACTATTTAAACGGGTTTTGTAAGTCTTCTTTTTCGTGTTTTTTAATCTGTTTCTTTTCACTCCATTGGACTGATTTCCAGAGGCTCTTGACCTTAGTGCATGGGTCCCAAGCCCATGAGGTTACAGGTACATGAGCTGTGAAGAATTGCCTCTGAACACTGAACAAGAGTAATCATGGTTTCAGTAGAAGACACTTCCTGCTGGATGAACAAAAGTAATAACACTATGGATGCTTCTCTCAAAGATGAGACGGCTTAGCTTCTCTACATCTTGTTCCAAACTCATGACTCACAACAAACAGGAATTCGTATGGCATTGAATAAAATCTTGAAGGTGCAGTTTCCCGTTCTATTCTCCCCACGCCATCTCCCAGTGTGACCCTCCCCACCCCAGAATGGTTCTTTCTGGGTTCATTCACTGGTCCTTTCTGTTTTATATTTACATGCAGAAACTAAAAAAAAAAAAAAAAACCCTCAGGCGGCACATCTCATGCATAAGATTTAGTCTCACCAATGGTAAGGGGAGGCAGAATTGAAGAACCCAGGAGTCCTGACAGCCAGAGTCACAGACTTAAAGAACCCCTCTCTTCTCTCAAGTTAAAGCAGTCCATCCCCCTGCCATACTCAGGACCTCTGGCCCTGCCGAGGTCCTTTCTGGGTTGGGAGGAGAGAGTTCTGGTTGCATACAGTGCCTGTGTTGGAAGGCATGGACCACTTCCATGGAGTCCCTTGGAAAATCAGGGACTGGTAGATCTGAGCTCTTGAGCATCACAGAGGAGGTGACATGGAAGCTGGTCTTGAAGACAGAATCTCCAGGATTGAAACTTGACAGAGGAGATAAAAGTTGGCATATCACAGCAAAGGGATGTGAAAAGTGGCAGGACTTGGAAGAGGTCAGAGGGCTAGGATACAGAGGTGAGATGGCGATTAGTCATGCACAGGATACAGAAATGTTTTAACTCGAGAGTGAAGAGAAAGGCTGATCTGTTTCTAGTACCATGTCATGATTTCACAAAGAGGTATAAGCAAGGAATCAGAGTAGTTGAAGTACTTGTTATCTTTGAGGGTGGCAGAAAGGAGGGGTAGAAGGACAACCCCAGGACGTACACCAAGGTCTGTCACAGTGACAGCTTCATAGGACATTTGATTATCACCTCAACATCATTGAAATCAACACCTCTCTCTCACTGGCTGCACACTAAGTGCTGTGCTAGATTCTTCCCAGGGACCATGCATCGTGCTTCACTCATACACAAATGGTGAGTGTAGACTCAGGGCTGGCGATCCAGCAGTGCCCATTAGGGGGGGTGTCCTATCCTCATAGAACTTAACCACAGGGAAAAGCTGCTGAGCTCACGCCCTTGCTTTACCGCATCCTTTAACCCCTGCAAGAAATAAAAGTGAGAGAAGTAGTTTCACTGTGGTTTGTCAAAGAACGCTTTTCAATGGTGGTGACTTAGAGTCCAGAGCTTAATGGAAGAATTGAGCCAGGTGACATCAGACAGGAAAGCCCCAACAGCATGTAGCATCACAGCACGTGCCTTAAAGTCATAGTTAATTTACTTATTTTATGATACAAACTCTATGTGTTTAACACTTTTTGAGTAAATAGCAACAAATGAAATAGAAAAAAAATCCTTTTCTCTGACTCTTACAAGGCCTAGGATCATAAATGACACATTGGCCAAATGTCAGAAATAGTGGTGACATTGTGGGACGGGGCCCAAAGACTGGCTGTGGATCTTATTAACAACCCCACAGAGAACTAAACCAATATCTCAGACTCTCGTCAAGCTCCTTAGAGCCACGGCATAGGGAGGACACAGCCCCTTGTGGTGTGCACAGGTTCTCAACACTTTGGTCCCATTCACACCACTCACTGCAAAGCTTGGATTAGGAAAAGATCACCAGCCCTTCTGGGTCAGTATAGATGTTGGGTAAGTCCTTAACTGTGGGGGTTTTTGTTTTCCTTTGTTTCTGTTGTTCATAGGACTGTAAGTAACAAGGAACCACCATTATTATTACCTACTAGGTGACACTGACATTGTGCCCGTTCATTTCCCTCACTACACACCCTTATCCTCATCCTTATCTGGTTGATTACAGAACTGAGGTTCATAGCAACTGAGAAACTTGCCAGAACCAAAAAGCCTCAAGGCAGCAAAGACTCACCTGGTCGGGACGTCTCCAAGCCTTTTTGGTCTTTGCAATTCACAGTTCTCTTGACTTGAGGAGGGGAATAATGCTTATAATCTTACATGTGGGCTACTCCTGAATGTGAACAGGGCACATCAGTCCTTCCACGCGTGCCTCCTCATCCATGTTCCTTCCAAAGAGAAGTTTCCAGAGTCTTACCCTTCTATTTGTAATCTACCTGCCTTCACCTTCACATCCTGCGTGGGGAGGCAGGAAGAGGCATTTGAAGAATACAACAAAAATAAAAGTCAAGAAAGTCATCACAAGCTTGACACTGACCAATGGCTTCTATCCAAGCTGGCAAGACGTATTTCCTCTGTGAGAACTTCCTTGATAAAAAGTGGTGGATCCACACTATGTGTTTGTATGCAGGGGGCAATCTTTCAGATACATTTCACCTTTGCAACAAGGGATGGGAGGTAAGTAACAGATGTGGAAGGATGGCAAGGCTGCATCTCATAAAGCTGCTCCCAAGTAGGAAAGTCTGTTCTCCCTCGTAAAACCACATCCGAGCAGAGGGAGGGCCACTCTGTGTGGTAACTCACAATCATACCAGTGCCGACTTGAATCACTGGAATCCAGCACATCTCACCTGGACTCCTTCCCAAACCTCCCTTCTAGATTTTTTTGTTTTTTTAACAAATAAGCAAAGAATACCGAAATGTTAAAAGCCGAACGCTCCCATGCAAGCACTGAGGCCAGCCATTCTCTGAAGTGCTGTTGTTTTGAATAAAAGCCCAAACACTGTGCATGATAATGTTGAAAGTCCCACTCCATGCTGTTTCATGCAGCAATATATAAGGAAGTGTTTATTACACTCTGTCTGCAAGAAAAGCCGGATGGAGGCAGGAGAGGAGAGTCCACAAGAAGGGGCTTGTTTATGGAATCCTAGGGGAATTTTCCAGGGAGGATTTTCCTGGGATTGTTGAAAATGTAGGCAGTGACACAGCAGAGATTACGTCTGCCTTGTCCACCACCACAGCTCCAATATATGGTGTGTGCTGCTGACACACAGGCCACCTTCTATGTACTGTTTGAGTGAATAAAGAGGAAAATCTTCATGGTGAATGCAAAGCTCATGGGCCTCCATAAAAGAAAGCTGGGATGGGTTTCTAGTTGTTTGATCTCGCCTTCCTTATCTGCAAAATGTACACAGTGATATGTATCTCATAGGAATTACACAGAATTATACAAAAGCATACCACCTGCATGTCATTGGTGACTTCCACGTTTCTCTGGTAGAACTGGAGGACACTATTGCTATAAGCCAAGAGGTGCTGGGGCTTGCAACAACTTGGTGATGGTTTGATGGGAGAATTGTGCCTTAGATTACAGTTTGAAGGTGGACATGGGTGGGGATTGTACATGAATTGGCTATAGCATATACTGCTAGCCCATCTTAATTGCTGAAGAATGTTTACTTGAGCCCTTGGAAAGGTAGGATTATCTTCAACTGGGTTGGGAAGAATATTTGAGTGGAAAGTTAAGAGCAAGAATTGGGTGGCGAGTTTGGCATGTCTAGGGAACAGCTGGAGGGCATCAGTATATGCTATAGCCAATTCATGTACAATCCCCACCCATGTCCACCAATAGTGTCCTCCAGTTCTACCAGCTTCTGGCCTTACTTCTTGCACCCCATTCTAAGTGGTGGGGGAAGCTCTTCCATTCTGATCACTGAAATGCTGGCCGTTATGAGTGCATCCATCTCAGGGAAAAGGACCCCGCGGTGCTGCTACAACTGTGGGAAGCCAAGCCATTTTCAGAGGGAGTGCCCTCAAACCACAAGCCAGGAGTTTCTTCCAGGACCATGTCCCATCTGCAAGGGGGATCACCGGAAAATGGGTTGCCCCCAACTCCAGAGGGAACAGGGGTCTACTGACCAGGACCCCAATGACGGGTCCCAGGGACTCCTATCTTGGCTACCACCACTTGGGTTTGTACTGAGGAGCCTTGGGTCTCCCTGATGGTGAGTTCTGAAAAGGTCAATACACAGGTGCATGCTTTTCTGCCTTGCCTTTCTCTCCTGGGCCGAGATCCATTCAAAGTAACTGAGACATCTCCGGCCGTGGGCTTATACTTGGGGATATCTCCACTTCTACTACCCCATCCTTGTTATTCCAGAGAAACCAGCCCCTTATTGGGGATGAAATATAGTGGTGAAGGTCCTTGTAGGCTCAGTCTGGCCCCTGATGTACAAGGTTATTTTCCCTCCTGGAGTAGATATTGACTCTATGGTCTGAGGTCAGCACCCCTGTCAACCAGATTCTGCAAAACCATTTGGGAAACACTGGAGGATTTAAAGCTGCTTTTCAAAAGGATACTCAACACATAAGTGTTTTCTATGTGCTCCCCCACACCTTGTCACTGATACTATCATTGCAGCTAGCAGGATGGGGCCCTAACTAAGAACATTATAGTGCAGGCTTATAGAATCAGGCCCATTGTTGAGCAGGCTTGTCAACTTGAGGTTATCAGACAGAAGCACAGCGCAGGTCTAGCACAGTGCAGGGAACAGGAGTGGATTTTTCACTGCTGGGCACAAGCTGTTCTGATGGAGACATCCCAAAGGCGTGGAAGGTCGATCGAGTGTGAGTCGAGTGTGCTGATCTCACCCTTACATCTTTCCTCTGACTGTGGTCTTCAGTGCACACATGGATGCCACAGGTCAGCCATAGGTATCCTCATTTCAGTACT